AGTAAAGTGCCTCTGGGTCCCATCCCCAGTACCACACATCCACAAAAAGGGCGGGGGTTGAGAGAGAGAGAAAACTGAGGCAGAGGGTGGCTGCCCAAGGTCACATAGGTAGCAACCATTGGCCACAATATGGTTTGCATTTAGGTCTACGTGGTTCTGAAGTCCAGCTTTCAACCATTCTGCACATCAGAATGTCAAGGGCAGCTCAACCAAAGGGAAAAGTCTTAAATAAGCAAGAAGTGGGTCCTCACTATGAGGAAAGTCAGGGTCCAGCAGGGCTCTGTTGGCCCCACAGGACCCACTGCCAAGCTGGTGGTCAGGGTCACAGGCCACAGCACCTCAGCTTCTGCTGCCCAGGAAGACACATGTGGAGTAGCAGGCTGCATGCAGTTAGCAAGGAGCGGCCCACACTCAGAGCTGCCGAGGGCCATGCCTAAGTAGCTGCGCGAGCCAGTGCCTGCCTGGCCAGAGGTGGAAATCCTCTCCGTAGTTTTGGCTGTGCCCGTGACCATGGCATGCGGAAGCTCCAGCTGATCCTTCCTGGCCTTGGAAACAGCTTCAGTGGTGCCCTCAGGGCTCCTTGGGGTCTCAGGGTCCTGGGTTGGCTCCCTCAGGGTTCCCCTGTGGGGCATCTCTCCATTTAACTGCTCCTTGTGAACCGGGGCAGAGCAGCTGCTTCCCAGCACCCTTGGCTCTGGCCTGGATCTCCCCTTCTGCTCGCCATAGTCCTCTGTGAGAGTCCAGGTATCTGGGAAGACGGCCTGACGGTCCACGGCCACCACAGGTGGCTCCTGAGAGTCACAAGCAGCTCCACGGGAAGCTTCAGTCCTGGATACCTCCAAAGCCCATGGCCATTCCCAAGTGGCAATCTCAGCTGCCTCTGAACACAAAGTGTTAGCTGGTGGCCCCCAGGGACCTCCAGGCTCCTGGGACCCTGTGCTCCCAGCAGGGGATGGAGTACGGCAGAGGGGAGCCCTAGAAGGCTCACTCATAGGGTTCAGCAGGTCCTTCCTAACTCCATCCTGGCTCTCTGCACAAAATGACCCCGGAGGACCCTCCACAGAGGGAGAGCTTGAGTTGCAGGTGTCACGTGTCACCCTGAAGCCAGCCAAGTCAAGCCAGCTGGGGGCCACAGGAGGTGGAAGACCCTGTCTATTTTCTTCAGTGCAGAGAACTTCTGGGGTGTGGTGTTGGCCTTGAGGGGTGGGTTTAGAGGTGGATGGCAGGAGTACAGAAGGCAGGGGAGGAGAAGGAGGAGGAGCGGTATGGAGTGGGGATGGAGCTGGGCAGGGCAGCCCCAGGGAACGCAGGGCCACAGCAGAGGAAGTGGTCTGGAGGAGAGAGCCAGGGAGAGGGGAGAAAAGAAAGAGCAAGCTGGGGTGAGGCGAGGAAGGATAGTTGCATCAAGGGTTGAGTTGGACTTAGGGCTCAGAGACCCCCCATCTACACTGACCCAGGTGCAAAGGTGAAGCACAGGAGTGACCCTTGAAGACTCAGAGCCCCCCAAAAAACTTTCCTGGGCTTCATATCCTGCTTGGCCTTCAAGAAACCCAGGCCAGCAGAAAGCAGCCTTGATGCCATAACACAATGGCCAGAGAAAAGCCAGGAGGAGGGGGTGGCAGCAGGAGGCAGATGGGGTGGGCTCAGGAGTAGAGGCCCCAGGAGAACCTTCTGGCCCAGCATTTACCTCCAAGTGGGCCTCTGACCTTGGGTAAGACCCTTAACTTCCAGGGACCTCCATCTCTCCATCTTTAAAATGGGGTAACAGTGTTTTCTTGGCTTCACTTACAGGTTATCAGAGAATTGAGAGGATGTAAGCAAACGCTCTTGACAGGCTTTAAGGCTTTTTTTTTTTTTTGATTTACAATAGAAAAATGCAGGCTTTCCTTTTCAGTAAATCTCTTAATCAGTTTTCTTTCATGCTTACTTTATTACTTACTTGTTAGTAGTTTTTGTTTTGTTTTAGGTTTTGGGGGGTGGCTCTTCTGTTGTTTTGTTTTGGGAAAGGACATACAGTTTTAATTAAGCAGGAATAAATAACAACTACAGTAACGGCAGCAATGGCTTGTGGAGGAATCATGTGCTACTTCTACACACTTTCCAAGAATTTTCTCATTCAATCCTCTGGACAACCTTGATGGAAAGCTGTCTTATTATTACCCCATCCTAAAGATAAGAAAACAAGCCAGGCATGGTGGTGCATGCCTACAATCCCAGCAACTAAGGAGGCTAAGACAGGAGGATCACAGGTTCAAGGCGAGCTTCAGAAACTGAGACCCTTTCTCAAAATAAAAATTAAAAAGGACTGGGGATAGCAATCTGTATATGGGGTAAAGTTTGGAGTTCATAACCCACTTGAATCAAACTGTGAAAGATGATGTATTAAGAACTGTGTAATGTTTTGAACGACCAACAATAAAAAAAAAAATTAAATAAATAAATAAATAAATAAA